GGACCAGTACGCTTCTGCAAAGTCACGAACGTACCAACCCGATATCCGTTCCATGGCCGCTTAACCAACTAAACCAACAAACATCGGTCCCTTGTGGGGAAAAGTTCTGCCCCAGCTTGCAGGGGATTAACGCAGCTGCGAACTTCCAGATATGATTGAGAAAGCCCAACCAAGACAAACATCGAACGTAGCAGAGACGGTGTGTGCGTGCGTCAATAAAAGATTATGGGTCGTTTCTGCTTTCTTGGTATCAGTTTTTAGTTACGTTTCGCATCATAAGCTTGCTCGCGCAGTTACTCTTCTTCCGGTTATCACACATAATGCAGGGTTTGTGCCATGTTCTTTGCATTTTTTGGTGGAGTTTTCTTGGTCATCACTGGGAATTTAAACCGGGTTAACCTTCAGCACGAAAAAGGGAGAGCGTGACCTCTTGAACAGCAATTTTCTAGCCTTTAAATGATTAAAGGTAATCTGTTTACTTATGTTCCTTCTTTTTCGGTAGCCGCCTCCGTGGCTCCAAGGTACAACGCCGGCCTATAAATCCCCAGGGACAGTTTGTTAGTGATGCAGGGATTCTACCGGGAGGGGTATGAGGGATTTTCAGGTCACGTGATTGGTTCCGTAGGGCGGAAAAGTACCTAGTGCTCTAGCCTATTCCACTCAGCAGACGAAAGCTTTGCTTATCGTTTCCTTTATTTCTTGCTTACCACGACCTCCCCCACAAATAACTTTATACGCCGCCTCTATAGCGCACGAATAAAATCAATTTTACTTACATTTCAAGCCTGATCACTTTCTATATGCGCGAAAAATTTGACTTGAATAATCCAAGCGTGGACCAACTTATGGCGGTCATTTTCCTAGAACGCTACTCGGCGTGAACTATCTTGGGCTACGCTGTCAAAGCTATTTGCGCGAGCGCGACGCTTCGTTTGGCGTTCCTTTCGCACGAGAGCGCTTACGAATGAAACGCTAGCCTTGAGAACGTTTACAAAAAATATTTGACGCGGAGTTTTTTAATTTGTGTTACTGTGAGGCCGGTTATGTGACCAGAAAATCCCTCTTGTGCGGGATTTTAGCCGCCGTGAAAGATACCCGCATCACTGGCAAACCGTCCAACCCTATAAAAATGATTTTTGACTTTTTATTGAAAACGTCTTGACTTCTTGTTGACTCTGATTGCTTTCTTTTGACTTTGACTTTCGGTTGACATGGTCAACAGAAAGTTTGTTGACTTTGTGTTGAAACTTTTCCGAGGATTTCCTTCAGCCTGAGTCAAAAGAAAAGCTGTTGACTTTATGTTGATTTTTTTCCTGCTGACTTTCAGTTGACATGCTCAACAGAACGTTTGTTGACTTTGTGTTGAAACTCTTCTCAAGATTTTCTTCAGCCTGACTCAAAAGAAAACCTGTCGTCTTTCTATTAACTTTATGTTGAATTGTTTTCTACTGGCTCTCTGTCGACAGTGTCATCAGAATGACTGCAGACGTTCTGTTTACTTCGTGTTGGAAATTTTTAGTTGACTCTCTGTAGCCAGTGTCAATAAAAAAGCTACAGACGTTCTATTGACTTTTCATTGAATATTGTACACCTCGACTAGATGTCAGAAGTCGCTAAGTTTCTCAATAGTCTCTGACAAGGTGAGAACGGGAAGCAGCTTCAGTTATCCCGCCTCGAGCGGGAGCCTACTACCCTTGACATTTGCTTCGGCGTTCGTGCACCTCGAGCGCGCGCGTGCAGTCAAAGCACGACGGATGGCATTGGGGCGCGTGCTGGAGGCCAGGCGTTCGAAAGGCATGCCCTGCCGTTCTGACTTTGTAAGTGACTATAGTGACTTTAATGACCATATTATTAGTCAACTAGTAAAGAAAGGCAAAATAACTATTTGAAGGTGGAGCAACTGCCTTGACTCGCTTCGTCCTGAATGGTACCATGCAGAGAAGCGATAATATTTCTTCTAGGAGCCGTTTTTGTGGATGTTGTTTTAGCGACTACGCCGAATTATTATTGGTTGTACCAATGTTTAGTAAGATATATCGTCCTCGAACTTCAAAACACTGTTTCCCCTTTGACAGACACCCGAGGAGACGATCAAATACTTGGAACTTTAATAAGTGCTGAGGTGGTCACCGGCCAAATGATTACCTTCAATATGTAGGCTATATAAGGCCCTGGAGCAGTGAATGGGACTGTGATCCAGGTGTTCAGTGGTTCATGGTGTTTGTGTTGATTTCTAATGTGTAGTTGTGGGATATGTAGTTGTGCCTTCAAGTATCACAATAACTCCATTTATGGACCAAATAAAAGAAATCGCTGTTTTTTTACCTTTCAAAACTTTGTTGAATGAATAGCTATGCTGTAAATATTTTTTTTTGCTTTAATCTTCTGTAGCTTTCTTGTTGAAAAGCTGTAGCATTTTGATTGAAAAGTAGCACAAAAAAAAAACTGGAGGCGACAAAGTCTGTTGACTTTCTTATTACAAAGTGGTCCAATATTCGAAAGAAAGTAAACAGAAAAGCTAGAGAAAGTGAGATGAAAAGTAATTGACATTTTATATCCTCTGATGACCTTCTTGAACAGCCTTTCAACAGAAAAGCATCACAGTTTGTTGCAAGGGCATGCAGGTGGTGGGTTCGAATCCCAGCCGAGCTGTCTACAATCTGACGAAGGCTTATTGCGGAGAAGAACTGTGCTTTCGGTTGCACGCTAAAATATCCTCAGGTAGTTGAAATCAATCCCCAACCTTCCACCTTGGTTTGATTGGCAAGTAAAGAAGCCAAACTTTTTTTTGTGTGTGTGTCTCCTTTTTGCTTCCTCGTGGTAAATATGTAATTCTATTTAGGAACGCTGACACTAATTTCGTGGCGCTGAGTTCCAACGCAATAAAGTGTTCAAACTGTGCAAAAAGCCGCGCTTCAACTTCCAAGATGAAGTGTTCCTTTTTCCTTACATGCAATATTTTTAATATAAGTGTCACTTCTTGAATTTGTTACAAATACTTGACCACTGGAACGGTCAGAACAGCAGCGATCCGGTAATCTTCGGATGCATTTCCGCCTCCAAAGACGTCAGAGGAAATGGGACACTTTAATTGAATGACAAAGTGCTCTGTATAGTCACTAGGGAATTCGAGTAAAATGCCTGCGCGTGTACTTTCTTGCAAGGCGCTCGTGATGCAAATCACTGCGGCGCATGTATCATATATCCTCCAATGACGAGGTTGAACTCTCCCCCGAGCTGCTTTAGATTATGCGCATAAAAAATAAAACTGCATGGGTAATATCAACCCAAAGCAGTGGCACCACGAAAGCAAAATATTAGATTGAGAGTAGTACAGAAAAAAGAGGGGCAATACACAGCACCCCATCCACCCCCGCCCCCCTCAAAAGCACAGACAAAGACACACACCCAAAAAAGAGTCTCAAAGGGGAAGGAAATGTAGCTCCCTAAATACTACCAGAACCCTTTTGAAAACTGTAATTAGTGTTTTTTTATTTTAATGACATGCAACGAAAAAGTACGTCAGGTAAGAGGGCAGTTTTGAACGTGCAGAATAAAGTCACGAATGCCCGTGAAATAGTTTCTAGTAGAGTTAAAATTTACCTGACAAGCTTTCTCGCCGTGATACGCAGGAAGGGGTCAAATATTCACCAGCTCCTGCCGGCTAAAACGCAAACCCGTGACAGCACTTTTAAAACTCGGTAATCCTCAATCTTTGACGATTAGCGAAATTGTACGACCTACGTCGTCCAATGACAATTATTAAAAATCAGCACTTAATGAAAGCAAAATCTAATAATTTTTCCCAAACATCACTGCTTGATTGAGCAAAGTGCATCGTGGTTGTACAAATTGCGGCCCACATGAATCGGTCATATAATATATTTGTTTTCGGAGACAGAAGCTAACTGCAATGTTAAAAGAGTGGCGACCAGACAACCTATTCGACGAAATGCTCATGGACCAGTCGACCTATTCGACGAGTTGGCCTAGACCCGTTAGTGAAATAAAGAAGCGTCTCCACTGACTAACGAAACAGGTTCGAAGCAGAACCGCACTTTCAGGCGCCCCTTTACCGAAGACCGCCGAAAATTGGCAAACTCGCATAATCCCCAAGAACGAATAGTTGTGCAATGTTGCGACAGTCAACGTTGAGCTTAATGTTTTCTACTCTGCACATGCGACCATGAAATTTAACAAAAAAATGTATACATACCCTACTTTGTAATGCACAGGTGGTCGTGGTTTTTGTTCTCTACAAAAATGTCCGTAGGTGCGTTTTATACAAAGCGGTGACTTATTTGCATTCCTTTTCTTTAAATGTAGAATTTACTGTGGAACTATGCCATGGGTGTCATGTTTTTCGTTCCATTCGTTGACGAGAATATTGAAACTTTCTTTCGCTCGCGCATATTGAGCGATCGTAACAGCGTATGCGGTCTTTCCAATGCAGTTTCGCCGAACCGACCGTACAAATACAAAGTGCGATTCATACAAAACTTCGACTTATATACCGACATTTTATTTTTTCGTGGGAAATGCGATTTAGACATCGGTGCGACGCCTATACCTAAAAATACAATATCTAAGTAGATATTGTACACATTGTAGATATTGTACATTCTCGACACCAAGTAGATGTCGAGAATCTGATGATTCTGTCAGGGGAAACGCCATTTTGTAACATGGACGATTACGGAAGTATAAATACGTCATACAGAGATGCTTCGATTAAGCTGAGCTTCGAAGGATTCGAATATGCGGGCCCGATGTCAATCGAAGCATGAATAACCAACTATAGTCCAACCCGCAGCGCGGCTTAACCAAAGCACGAATGACCAACTATAGTCCCATCCCAAGCAATTCTTCGCAGCCCAGTTTAATCAAAGCATGAATACTCAAGTAGTCCCATACGAAGCACTATATAATCGTATGGATGTTATCTTCTGCGCACTTATAACAAGAAATCATGTTAATAAAAATACAGACAAATGTCTTACCTCCGGTTTAGTCTCAACGCCGTTGACACCGTCCATATCACCTTCGTAGCTTTCGCTGCAGGCCAAAACGTTGTCAATTCAGTGGAGATAAAACACGGTATATTATTTGGACGTGAGTTTGGATTCCTAGGGTGCACGACCACGCTCTTGCAAAGACTGTCTTCACGGCGAGCGAGTGGGAGGATGCCACAGTCTGTCCGTTCGGGCCACTGATCGTGTCGGTGTGGGGAGATGTTTATAATCGTGTATGGGTCTGACCACAGCTCGGCGTCCAATGGGCAGTCCGCGATCCCGGCCGCCTCCAGACAGACGCCGGGAGGAGGGGGTGGACTGCCCGTAATTATCTCGACCTTGTCAGCTGTTCCGAGAGGCGATGAGTCTGGGGACACGGGGCGCGTCTCGGACTCGTCGCCGACTGCGCGGATAAGGGAGGGACGGCAGCGCGGGTGTCCGGAGCAATAGCTCTTTCATCGCCCGGCTTGTTCTTTAATGACTACGTTCTTTCTCGTCTTCTTCTATTTGAATTTTTGTTTTTCTTATTTTTCGCGTGGGGCAGTTGCTGTTTGCGGAGAAACTGCTGCGACGCAGCAGTCTCGGGAGGGAATTGGACGGGAACGTGCGCAGTTACCGCGGTATTGCGTCGTTCGGATGTTTTGGCTTCCCGACTCGGCTTGTATACTATGCTCCGCATCTTCGAAGGCGCGCTTCGAAGATGCCCGAGGCGTGTGCGCAGATTGACGCAGCGTCTCAGCGGAGAGGTTTGCGCAGGCTGAGACAGCGTCTCAGCCGAAACTGGGTGAAAGCACTGCGAATGCTGGGCCGCGCGTGCGTCTTGAGACGCGGTTTGATTCCCGCTTAACTCGCGTGCGTTGGCTTCGACAGTGTTTTTTTCCGCCCCGGTTTCGGCACGGACGCTGTTTCGAGCAAGCCGGACCTGGAGCCTGTACTTTCCCTGAAAGGCACTTGGCAGAGTCAATCGCTGCAATCTTCAGAGGAAGCTCGGGGAATGGTGGGGCTGCTAATATGTTTAGGCGTAAAAAAGGAAAAATTGCTGGGCAATTGCGTTACACGTGAAACGAGCCCGAGCCCGGTGCCTATGCCCTCAGAACGCTCTCCATCAGATAACTTAACACGTTGGCATAGAAACTTGATAGCAGCTCCTAGAATGAAGATACTGTCGCTAGTCGGGTCTTGAAGCCTGGGCGCTTTTCCGGGATCTCCCAAACTCAGCGGAATTGGCCTATACTTCGTTTCAGCATCGGTCCGAGCGCGGCCGATGTTGTGAGCCGAAGGGCCAATCAAGCAGCGCAAAAAACGCAGCGTCATGGCGTGCTCTCTGTGTCTGATAGGAGTAGACGGCGGAAGAGCACGCACAGAGACACGGCGAATATCTGCTGGTCCTATCAACCGCAGAGAGCACCCCATGATATTGTGCCTCTTTCGCTGTTTGATTGACCCTTCGGCTCATAACATCGGCCGCGCTCGGACCAAAGCTGAAACGAAGTATAGCAGCGTTGACCATGTGACCAAATTTTCCCCCAGCCAATCAGCGTCCGGCTCCGCAGACGATTTTTCAGGCTACACCAAGTCTGGCGACCTCCTTCTCCTCGACAAGCGAAATAACAAAACGTTTTTCGTTAAAACGTGTACTGTGACTCTAAAGATGGGAAAACTTCAAGCTCAGTGTCGCCGCTCTCACTGCATTTTTTTTTAAAGGTTCGTACATGTTATGATCCTTTTCATTCGCCGAGCTCATTGCGTAGACAGCTGGCTGTCCAAGCGCCTTTGCGGTATTCCACATTCCTTAGACTGCTCAGGTCGGGGTCCCGACTACGGGTGAAGCCCTTAAAATGACCGTATGAATAGGCTTGGTAACATATCGCGCTAAGAAAGGCAGTAAGCCGCCGGGGCCACTGTCATCATTTGTCGGTTATTGCGCCACTCAGAAAGTACGCGGTTAGCAGACGGGAGCCATAGGTGGAAAAACAAAACAAAACAAAGGAAAACACTGAAACGTTCGTTGGCTATTGGCTGCGGATTTCATAAAGCCGCATTTCGTAAAGCCGTGGCCTGTGACGTCCCATGATGCAACGCGTGCAGTATGGCATCACGGGACGTCACAGCCCTATACGCGAATTCAGGTTCTCCGCTAAATTTAGCGGGGAATTCGGATTGGTGTAAAGGTCTGTGGCGTCGCGTAATGCAACGCGCGCATTGTTGCATTATGGGGCTTACACACCTACGAACACCAATTCATTTTCCCCGCCAAATATAGTGGGGAAATTGACGTTAGGTGACCCGATGTCACGTGATGCAGAACCTTTCCCGTATGCAACACAATTGCGTGGAAATAGTTTTTTAAACGTTTTACTCAGGTAAGTTTGTTTTTCCTCTTAAATTTTGACGAAAATACTTCCACTACCCTCGGGCACCTCTGTGGTACATCTTAGCGCGATACGTTACCAAGTCAATTCATGCGGTAACTTTAAAGGCTTCACCCAGATTGGGGACCGCACTCTATAGTTACTGACAGAAAGGCCTAACGTGGCGTGAGTAAGAGTTTCTGATCGTCGCTTTGTAGCCATTGAGATTGCTGCATTAGCCGATGAGAACGCCGAAGAAAAAAATCATGAAGCGAGTAGCATACATTAACATAATGAGCCCCGTACTTGCGTTTCCTAAGCAGTCAGTAAGTATGAAACATACTAAATATTTTTTTTTCACAGGTATAGGTGTGGCAACTGTTTTGCACGTAATATGTCCGTGCGTGGGAGTGTGCTTCGGAATGAAAACAGTTGTTGGTGGCTGCTGCCACTTTCAAGAGCAGAATATATTTCTAACATGCAATTCTCTTGGTGTATTTGGACTTAAAATGGCTTGGGAACGATTTTTTCTTTTGTTGTTATTTGCGTATTGTGCAAGCAGACGCTCACATCGGCCGCGCTAAAAAAGCGAGCGCAAAGCGCTCCTACGTTGCTCAAAAAAAAAAAAAAAAAAAAATTAAGAGTTTTGAGGTTTGTATTTTTTCCAATTACTTCGGAGCAAGCCTCTATTGAAACCGTCTTTTCTTTTACTTTATGGAACATTTGCGTCCCTTAGTGATTTCCGCTGAACTTCGCGATTTTAAAGCAGTGATGCAAACGCAAGAGTTGCGGTTCAGTAATCTCGTCGGCGGCAATTCGCGTACGTTTTGCGGGACTGCTCTATGTACGTGAACGCGACTAATCTCCATAATATTACGCTATCTATAGGATGTTAGGTTTATCGTTTGCAATTTCTGTGTGTTTATTATTCAAGTTCACGTTATTGTGTGTGTGTATTTTTGTCAGTAGATTGGATGCGAAAGAGGTTGAGGTTGTTGAAATCAGCGATCCGTTGAACTGTTCTTTCTTTTTTTTAATCAGCTTTTTGCCTGTAACCTTCTTCGCAGTCCGCAAAAAAGATAAAATAAATAAAGCTTTGGTTAAAATAAAATTACGAACTTTGCAAGTGGCAACTTGTAGAGTCCATATGAAGTTGCGAAAATATTTAAATTAGCCATGGTCGCAGTTTGAAGGCATCGTAAAAAGAACAGTCGGCGGAGACTCTCTGGAGCGTGTTGGCGGTCCTGTCGCATTAGTCATACAAGAGCTATGTGTAGACATATGAAGCAAACATGCTTGAAACATATGCTGTAGGCTAGATGTATGTATGTCAGTGGCTGTATCCTTTGCACTGGGCTGTAGCTTGCGCCACCAAGCCTAAGGCGTGCTCGCAGATAACTTTTTCTTTATTTTCTGCGGCAAACAGCGCCTCTTTTGTTATGACAGAACACATAACGGAAAGCTGCGAAACCATAATATTTGTCCACACGCGTACCTTTGTCTTTTTTAGACCTTAGCGCAATATTTTTAAAGCCTCAGAAGTGTTTCGTGGGTTTATGGAATCAATAAACTTACAAAATTATACGGGGAGCAAGTGTTCCAAAATACGTCTTTAGTGCAGCGGAATGCAGGGAGGTGGAGGATGAGGAGGAGTGCGTGCGTGCGTGCGCGCGTGTTACGAAAGACCAGTGTAGTACATGTTCCTCAAAAAGAGGAACAAAAGCTCGTTCCTCGTTCCTTTTAATTTTTGGAACACGTTCCCGTTAGAAGTTCCATATCTGAAAAAAGAACTCGTTCCGTTAGAGCCAAAAAATGGAACGTATCGTTACATAAACTTTACAATTTTACTTTTGCTGATTATCATATTTAGATAGATCAGGCAAATGATTTTTATCTACCCCATGAAGCGGCAACATACGAATTTGAATGCAGTGGTGGAAGGGCACCAGGAGAAGAAGACAAGCAGAAGCAGGGTTTTGTTTGTTGATATAGTCGCCTTCAAAAATCACAGCTTTTAACCATAATCATGTTGTGATTCGCAATTCAGACGAGCCAAACGATTTGTTACGAGCGTTTTACAACAACCTCATACGTTTCAACCCAACAAAGTCCTTTGTTGGAACTTAACTTCAGTTGCTTCTCGATGTTGCTGTTCTCCAGACGAGCAAGTGAAGAAGCGGGTAGGGCTTTTGGAAGGTCATTCTTGAGGACTAGAAGTCCTTTTTAGTGAAAGTTTGATTTCTTAATCAGTTTCAAAGTGGGACACAAGAAAAGAAGGATTAAAGATTAATTTTGGTGTTTCTTTTAGGTCACCAATCTTTGGGATACAAGGGTGCGTTCTAAGTCTGCTAACTTTTTTTTTTTTTTTGTATCTGTAGGTCTCTTTGTGGAAGTTCAGTGATGGCTGTAGTCGGCCTTAGATTTCTGGGTGTATGAGGATTTGTGGAAGCAAAGAAAGTAGCTGAGTTTGAAAGGTTCCTCTTTCTGTGTATTTTCCTTCGACTAAAAGTTTTGCTTTTTGTACCGCAGTTTTCGGCTTTGAAAAAAAAAAAAAATCAATCTCCACTAGCTCTCCTGCACCCGACTGATACCAAGCAAGGACCATACAAAATAAATTCTAAGATAAGTAATAAAACATTTCACGAGATCTTGCTCTTCGTAAAGATATTGTTTTTAAACTTTTCGACTTTCTCTCTTAAAATTAAATACAAATCACCCCACTGGACAAAAAGAGGAACACCGTTCCTTTTTTCGTTCCAATAAAAATGTAACGAGTTCCGTTCCAGTTACACCGACGCAAAATGGAACGGCGGCGTTCCATCGCTCCTCCTAAAAGGAACGCGTTCCAGGAACGCCGTTCCGTACTACACTGCAAAAGACCAATTTATAATGAAACTTGATCAGGAGTCTTTCCTTTTTTTGAAGCGCTCTTTTCTGACATAAATTGAGTTCAAGTTTACGTCGCACAGCTTCGGAGTCACAGATGACTTGAGGATCACATGACCCCTTCCCTTCCCGTAACACTTGACTAAAACTGTCCACCTCCCCCCC